AGTCTTCTTCCTTTCTGTACTTGGTCTTCAAGATGTTCCAAACAGCCAAATCTGCGTTTGAACACGGAAGCAATACCACGGCTCATTCTGAGATCCTTTGAAACGCAATGGGCCAGAGAATATTCCTTAGATACAGCAAAGAGGTCTCGTAGGATTTCTTACGTCACTACAAATCTCCTGTTAACATGGGGGCCTTCCTTCATGAACTCTTCGAATGTGGGCTCGGAAGGAATAGTTCTTAATAATCTGACCCGCACCTCCTCTTCATTTGCACCGGCGAATGGAGCCAAGCGATTAAAATAGACTACCTTCGGCTTCCCATTTGGAGTTTTCTTAATTCGATAGAACACGTCGTTAATCTTCTTCATTATCTCACGGCGACGACGAGGATTATACAACTAAACAAGATCTCCAGTTTGGTAACCACCTGCTGTAGCCTTGATAAAGTAGTTTTCTTTAATCCTGTCACTAGCAATCTGTGTATGCAGACGAACCGACTCGTGGATATCGTTAAGCTTTCTTGGGAGGTTGGTAACATAAACTTCCCAGCCAAGTCATCTCCTGGTTTACAGCCGAATTTGAGGTCATAAGGTAGTCGTAACTCCCTTCCAAAAAGGAAACTGGCAGGTGTTTGGCCAGTCCTTTCTTGGACAGATGAACGGTATGCCATTAAAAATGAAGGCAAATAGCGGTCCCAATCCCTTTGGTGATTAGACACTAACATGGAGAGATATTTAATCAAGGTCCGGTTCATTCGCTCAACCATGCCGCCCGATTGTGGATGGAGTGGGGTAGTTCAAGTTTTCTTTATTCCTAGAAGCTCGCATACTCCACGGAAAATAGCCGATTCGAAATTCCTCCCTTGGTATGAGTGCAACTCCAAGGGCACCTCAAAACGACTGATCAACTCTTTCACCAGCTCCTCAACTATTGTTTCCGACTCCTGGTTCGGAAGGGCATAGGCTTCAACCCACTTGGTAAAATAATCCATAACGACCACGATGTACTTGTTACCTTTCTCGAACTCTGGGAATGGACCCGCCACATCGATTGCTATTCGTTTGGAGGGGCCACCGACAATGTATTGACGCATTGGCGCCCTTGGCCTTTTCTGTTGTCCATTACTCGCGGCACAGGTGGTACACTTTTTACACCAATTCTTGACATCTTCCTCACAGTTCACCCAATAAAATCGCTCTCGAACTTCCCCAAGCGTCTTATTCACTCCAAAATGGCCACCAGATGATCCATCATGAAGATAATGCAACTCTTCTCTAATTTTGTTTCGAGGAATAACCAGTTCCTATCTTCCTCTCCATCTGGACTTTCAACAACACGCTTCAGGATGCGATCCTCCAAAACCATTGAGTCCGACTGAGCCCATAACGATTTTAGTACTTGGATACAGGATGAAATTTGCTGCCACGTTGGTCGTTTGCCGTCTCTTTTCCATTCCATTACCTTCTTCAAGTACGGGTCGATTTATTGGTCGTGTTTTATATTGTCAAGTAACCACTCGTCATCGATTACCGTAACGCGTCGAATTGCCTCTTCACTCTTTTCCATTCGATCACACTGCTTGCAGTCTGTTTGACAAGATCTACTGGAAAGTGCGTGGGCATTCTTGTGTCCGGTTCCAGGCCGGTGCTCGACGTCAAAATCATATCCCTGTAGCTTCTCAATCCATCGAGCTACCTGGCCCTTCGGATTCTTGAAATTCAGAAGCCACTTTAAAGCTGCATGATCGGTGCGTATGGTGAATCTTCGTCCATATAGGTATTTATAAAAATATTCTACACCCTACTACAGCCACCATCTCTCGCCGAGTGACGCAGTAGTTTCTTTCGGTTTTTGATAAGGTCTTGCTAAAATAGCCGATTACTTTCTCTTGGTCATCTTGTAATTGCGAAAGAACGGCTCCCATTCCTACATTGCTGGCGTCGGTGTCCAAAATGAACATTCCAATGGGCCGGGGATATACCAGAACGGGGGTTGTGATTAAAGCATGCTTCAAAGTCTCAAATGCCGTTTGACAATCCGAATCCCAATGAAATTTGCGGTCACTTTTGGTTAAACGTGTCAAAGGTTTGGCGATTTTGGCGAATCCATAAACATAGCGACGATAGTACTTGCACAATCCTAAGAAGCTTCTTATGTCGTGGACATTTTCAGGCACTGGCCATTCCTTCACGGCCTTTATCTTTTCTGGATCCATGGCTACGCCCTTTGTTGATACAACATGTCCCAAGTCAGAAACTTCCTCGCAGAAAAGGTGACACTTTTTCGAACTGAGTTTCAAATTGGCCTCATGTAACCGCTGGAATACCGCTTGTAAATTCTGCAGGTGTTCATTAAAGGTGCGTCCAATGACTATGACGTCATCCAAGTATACCAAGCAGGTCTTTCCAATTTGATCAGTCAAGATTTTTTGCATCAACCTTTCGAACGTCGCCGGGGCATTGCATAACCCGAAGGCATAACTGTAAACTGCCATAGGCCCGTGCCGTTCGAGAAGGCGATCTTTTCCTTATCCGTAACATCTAAAGCAACTTGCCAGTATCCGCTCTTCAAAACGAGCGTGGAAAACATTTTCGAACCAGAAACATCCAAGGTGTCATCAATCCCTAGTAGTGGATAACTGTATTTCTTGGTAACGTTGTTGAGTTGTCGGTAATACACACAAAAACGGGTTGTCCCATCCTTCTTCTTTACCAATACTACCGGTGATGTCCATGGATTTGAGGGTGGCTCAATTATGCCGGTGTCCTGCATTTCGTGGACTATTCCTTCTTGGCCAGGGGCAATCGTCTTAGTTTTTTACATAGGCTGCGCATTACCGGTATTGATCTTGTGCTTTACGATATTGGTCCTTCCCCTACTATTCTTGTCAGTCTCAAAGACGTCGGCATTCTGACAAAGTAGATGTTGCACTTTGCATTTCTGCTCACTGATTAGATTTCTACAATACCTGTCAATCACTCCACTTATTTCAACAGGTACTGTTTCAAAATTTACCTTTCGGGTTACAGCCAACGCGTTTTCTTAAATTCATGTCAAAATTGTATTTTTGTAAAACGTCCAGCCTAAGAATTATGTCATCTTCAATATCTGCCACAAGCACTCGATGGTCAAAAACAGTCTTACCGATTTCAAGTGACATGTTAGCTTCGTCATGAACAACCACTTTTTCTCCGGTAGCCGTAAGTAGAACCCACTTAGTTGAGACGACCTGGTTAGAACCCTCGACTACACTGGGTTTTACTATGCTCCTAGTGGCCCAAGTGTCCAAGAGAAACACGCATCTTCATCCATCTATTTTTTCAAATAGGAGTATACTGTTATTCTGGTGCTTCAAGGTCTTCGTAAGTGCGATAAATTCGGGGTCTTTTTGTCCGTGGGTCAACGTTTGCCCCGTTACGTCGACCCTATCTAGTTTTCCTGCTGTTGACGTCGAGTACTTGGGGAAGGAGTACTTTTCCTACACTACCTCCTCGTATGACCTAGTTCGCCGCAATTCCAACATCTTAGCTTTCGAGTTTCTTTATTGAACTTGGAGATGATTCGGTTAGCTTCGTTGAGTGTACTAGATGCACCAACATCCCCTTCGGTTGGTTTTATCTTTCCATTAAAAATCAATTTTTCCAGCATTTTTATCTTCTCTTCTGTTTGTTGAATATTCTTATTAAATTTTTCTTCCCATTCACGTTTCAAACTTTTACTATTTTCTTCCAATTTATTTTCCAAACTTTTACTTTTTTCTTCCAATCTATTTTCCAAACTTTTACTATTTTCTTCCAATTTATTTTCCATTTTTTTTCTATTTTCTTCCAATTTATTTTCCAAACTTTTACTGTTGTCTTTCAATTTATTTTACAATTTTTCTAAACTTTTCATCATTTGCGATCATGGCCATCCTTTTTCAACGCATCTGCGAGCCACTGATGTTCCGCTTTGTTCCCGTTTGTCGCTTTATCCCGTTCTTCCAATTCTTTTCTTAACTCAGCTGCTTTTAATTCGTACCACTTCTTTGCCATTGTAATGTCTTTTACTCAACCCCACACTTGATACCAGTTGTAATGTTCGAAGGTTTAACAAAATAACTTTTAAGACTGATAAAGACAGAAACTATTTATTTACACTAATTATTAAAGAGATTAAATTATTACTAAACTTAGGTTATGAATTATTCTATTTATTTACACTACGGTTGATATATTACTATTCACTGCGCTATTTATTTCACTGCTATCACTGTCAATTTATTTCTCGATTCACTTCTGTAACGGTCAATTTATTTCTACTACTCTCGGCGATCGTCTCTTCCTTTAAATACTCTTTTGATTTCTGTCGGGAACCTTCTCGAAACGTCAGGAAAAGTTTCTTTTTCTTTGAACTGTTTAACTTTTTTCCCAAAATGCAGGTACGACACACACATTTACAAATACGGCGCACATGAAGAAAGGCTCCAGCGGTTAGTCGGCGAATCGATAAGCCGTTCACACACACGTGTGCCCGATCGCACACAAACACACTCATGCTCGCTACAATATTTAGGAAAGAGGGGTTTAAAGGTAAAACGAAATTTATAGAATTTGGAGAAGGGGTAAGAAGATAAAAAGAAGAAGGAAGTTAGGTGGAAGGGTGAAATGATTGGGAAGGTAGAAAAATATACGTAGTTAGAATATGCAATGGGGGAAAATAATAGTGATAAAATACCTACATATAGATACTCAATTGGCGAAAGCGAGCACCTTATTAGTAAGTGTTAGAATGTAAGGAGGAGGCACTTGTAAAGAACAATAGCACTTGCATTACATCAACAAGATTGCATTTATTAATCAGTATTCTTCTACAATGTAAAAAGCGACCATGCGCTACCGCTCTAACTCTGTATCTATCTGACGACCTGCACACTCTCTCTACCTTACACACATACTCCCTAGCTACCGCGTTACCACTACATAGGTGGGCACAACACTCCCCCGCGTAAATAAGTTCACTTAATCTATATTAAAACTATGCAAATTTTCAACTGGGTTCTCGCCCTCATCCAGGCTGACATCCACAATATAATCATGCAGTGTCTCGGGCCTTCTCCTTCTCCGGAGTGGGTTTCTGCGCTGCAATGCGGGTGGTGCGGCTAGCTGTACAAACTCAGCCATGTTATCTTGCGCTTCGGCTGATTTAGCTGCTCTGTCGGCTGCTACGTTATCGGGCTGCTCTTCATGCGCCTGAGGAGCGTTCTCATCCGTACGCAATATTTGTATGCGCTCCTCTGGAGGAATGTAATAGTCAAATTCATTTACCGGCATTGCGAGCTGCACTCCAGTTCTCCTGAGCTGATTTTTATGTCTGCGCCAATCTTGGCCACAATCAGTGCGCACTCTATAGTGTAGTTTTCCTGTCCTTTTTTCAACTATACCGAATTTCCATTTACTTTTCCCAACGTACCCACGAGCTATCACTCTCTCCCCCTCTTTAAAAGTTCCGCTATCCTTTTCGATATTGCAATCCTTCCTTTTAGGTACACGTGTTTGTTTTAGCAGATCCAATCTTCCCCTTATCTTTCGATTGAAAACCATTTCCGCTGGGGAGAGGCCTGTTTGAGCATGCGGCATATTCCTGTACTGCGTCAGGATCTCTTGCAATTCATATTGGATGTTGGACTTCGCTGGGATTTTTGCTAGGGCTTTCTTGATTGTCTGAACGAACCTCTCTGCCTGGGCATTGGTAGCTGGGTGATAGGGTGCCGGTAATCGATGGTAAACACCATGTTCGCACAGAAATTTTTCAAAGCCAGATGAAACGAAGGTTCGTGCATTATCCGAGACCAATATACAGGGTGATCCATAAACCGAAAAGATTTTTTTACAGACTAAAATTGTGGTCTCCGCAAGCATATTCTTCACTATGTGAACTTCTGGCCACTTTGAGTATGCATCAATTAACAAAAAGAAAGTATGGCCCATGTACGGCCCTGCATGATCAATATGAACTCTTTCAAAAGGGGCCACTGCTGGTTCCCATATGTGAGGTTCAACTTTACTTGGATTTGTTAATTGTGATTGACAATTACTGCAACTAGAAACTAGATTTTCAATATCCTTGTTAATTCCGTACCACCAGCAGTAACTCCTAGCTAGTCCCTTCATCTTAGCTGCTCCAAAGTGCCCAGAATGTAACTCACTCAGTATTCTTTTACGCAACGACTTTGGTATAATAATGCAATGATTTCGCACTAATATTCCGCTTTCTATCGCAAACTCATGTACATCAATACCCCAGGTATTATCTACTCTACTGTCTAACTTTAACATTTTATACAGCTTTTTCAACTCACTACCTTTCTTAGTTTCTTCTAAAATTTCAGTCGCACTTACAGGTAAGTTACTCAATACATCACAATATAATATATCTATAACATCAACATTTGACTTAGGTTCTCCCATAGGGTGTCTTGACAAGCAATCAGGATTGCCATTGTGTTCTGACTTGCGAAATTCTACGGTGTATCGAAATGCTCTAAGAAAAATTGTATAATGCTGCATTCGTAATGCACTATACACTGGTAATTGTTTATTTGAATCAAAAATATGCGTCAATGCTCTATTATTAGTAACGAGAATGAATTTTTGACTGTACAAATACTTAAACAATCTCTTAATCGCCCACATAATGGCAAGAGCTTCCCTATCAATTTGACTATATCTACGTTGCAAATCACTAAGTGCTTTAGATATAAATTTAATCGGTTTTTTAATCTTATCTGGGTATCGGTGAGATAAAACAGCACCCAGACCAACCGGGCTCGTGTCCGTGGCAAGCACCTGTGGTACTGAAGGGTCAAAAAACTGTAAAATTTTATTACTAACAAAAGCTTCTTTAGCTCGCTGGAAAGCCACTTTTTGCGGTTCTTTCCATTCGAACTTATTATTATTACACAGTAACTGATTGAGTGGATGTAAAATTGTACTAGCATCTTTGACTGTAAAAATTTATCATTCCACAAAAGGCTCTGACCTCTGTAACATTCGCCAGCCTAGGCATGTTAACAATTGCATCAAACTTAGCTTTATCTTTATGAACTCCATCTCCATCAATCACATATCTGCAGTACTTAATACTTTTCGCATAAAACTTAAGACTTTTCAACATTTATTTTGACATTGCAATCATGTAAAATTTTTAAAACTTTGTCTAAGATTTGTTAAAGTTCTGTAATTGATTTAGCTGCTATCCTAATGTCATCTTGGAATACTTTAACTACTTTTAGAGGCTTAAGTTTTGAATCCATGAATTGTTGCCAAATTGCGGGTGCTGAAGCAACCCCAAACAATAAACGAGTAGGTTGCAGCAATCCAAGTGACGTATTTAGTGTTAGGATTTCAGCTGTTTCGGGTGTAACTCCAGCTTGTAAATACGCGTTTTTGACATCGAAAATCGCGAACGCGATACAATTAGGCAAATCGGTTAGCAATTCATCAATGGTCGGTAGCGGATGCTCACAAATTATATTATTAATTGGGGGTTTACGGATACACTGTAGTCGCCACATAAACGTACTGACCCGTCTTTCTTCATAATAGGTACAATAGGGGTTGCCCTCTGACTAGTATCCCTTGTTTAATTAAAACTTTCATCTTATCTTCAACTGGTTTAATTAATGCAAACGGCAAGGGCCTGGCACGTAAGAAAACTCCCTTTGCACCTTCTCTCAAAGTCAGACTGGCCTTGAAACCCTCAATTTCTGTCATATCTGTACTTAGGACATTTTTGTATTTGTGTAAAAGTTGCTTAACTTCCGCATTAACATCAACATTTGCTGCTTCCTCAACAGCCAAAACTGAATGGAAAATTGCATCCGCACCCTCACATTTGATACACTGCATTACCCATTCTCGACCCAAGAGTGGATCACGCTGTACATCTGTAACATACAAATTAAGTGTAAATTTTGAATTTTTGAAAACAACATCAACAGTAACATAACCGAGAACATTAATAGGTGTTTTGCAATATGATACTAACAATAAGTGTAAGTCAGACTTATGCAATTTCACACGAGCACTTGATGCGGACAGGATCCTTTTGGCTTGATCAGCATTCATGATAGTCACAGCAGCTCCCGTATCCACCTCGGACTTCACCATGACGCTGTTGACCGACACCAAGCAGTATATTTTCTCTCTGGACAAAGCGTGTTCAACGGAGTGAACTTGATCCGCATTTGGGCCGAGCCCCTCCAGGACACACAGAGGCCAGTACTCCTCACAGTCACTATCTGAATCACTAGCCGCTCCCTGATAATTCACCTCATCAGTGTTCGTTTTCTTCTTGAAGTACACCTTCTCAACATGTCCTAGTTTTCCACAGAATCTGCACTTAATTTTACTGGACAACTTGCAGTTTTTTGGATAGTGGCTCCCACCACATCTGTAGCACTGTACTTGCTTATCACCACTTGGAGTATCATTTTTGCCATGGCTGTTGTATTTCTTATTGGGCTGACTGTACCCTGTATTATTTCTCTTTTTGTACATCTTATGTAATAAATCAACTGTCGCTGTACTCTGAGTCATAGCAGAAAATTCTTTTGACGTGAGCTCCACTGAAACTGCTGTTTGTAGAGCATAACAAACTGATCTCTGAGTGCTCTTTTAGCATGTTCCTTAAAATCACAGTTGACACTTAGTTTGTTTAATGCATTTGCATAAGCTTGAACTGACTCGCCTTGCTCCTGCTTACGAGTGTAAAATCTGTAACTCTCCGCTATCTCAAGCACAGTTGGTTCGTAGAGTTCTTTGAGTTTAGCACAAATAACATCGTATGTCATTGTATAGGGATCGTCTGCTCCAGACTTATCACACAATGTATTGTAAACTGCATTCCCAATGTAGTGTAAAAGGGCTTTGGCCTTCAGCCCCTGGTCCCAGCCAACTAGTGTAAACGCGCCCTCGAATCTCTTCACCCATCGAGTCCATGTAATAACCTCGCTGTTGAAAAATTCAATCTGCAGTGTATTTGATGTGATTTCTGACATCTTGCGCTGTATGACTGGGCCCCAAGAGGAGTTAATGACCATACTTTATCGTAACTTGAATTTGAAAAACACGTGCTAGCTTGTAGGTTAGCTACACTTCCTGCACTGTACTGTATCCACTCCCGCGATCGGCGCCGTGTATGTAGGTGTATTGTAGGTTAGAGTCGGGCGTGGTTTGTATGTACGTAAAAATATATGAGTAAACTGCCTTTTCATCCTCGTCGCCAATTGTTAGAATGTAAGAAGGAGGCACTTGTAAAGAACAATAGTACTTGCATTACATCAAACAAGAAGATTGCATTTACTAATCAGTATTCTTCTACAATGTAAAAAGCGACCATGCGCTACCGCTCTAACTCTGTATCTATCTGACGACATGCGTAAAACAGTAAGTATTTGGAGGATAGGGCAAAGGTTATGTAAGAATGATTGGGCTAGGAGGAAATAGTTGTTGGATGCGACAGTTAAAAGTATAATATTTTATGGAGTGGAAGTGTGAGGATGGTAAAAGCAAAAAAAAGTGGAAGACATTTACAAAAAGCACATAAAATGAGTATTAAATTTATATAGAAAAGTTAAGCGAGGGAGATGTCACAAAAGAAATATAAAGAAAGAGAATCCTGAAAATCGGATTTAAAAATAGATATAATAGAGAAATACAAGAAGTGTTAAGTAGTTAAGACAGCTATCTTTCTAGTCTGGATTGATGTGCTGTTCATTTGTTTCTTTTTCTTTACTCTTTCTAATCCATAAAATGCTCCACATCCTCGCTTGTGCTCCTGGTTTCGTGATCTGTTGCACCCAGCTCTCCTGCTCCCTTCCCGTGTATTCGCATTTTTCTAGTATGTGATTCAGTGTTTCTTTCTCTTTTTTGCATATCCTACAAAGTTTGTTCTCATCTGGGAGCCAATGCTTATTTGCTTTCGCTTCTGTTCCCAACCTGAATCTTGCAAACATTTCTAGTTATTTTTTCTTTTTGTCTCCCTTTTTCATGTATTCTAGTTTTTCCGATGAATATAACTCCCTATACTCTATCGCATATTTTGAAGCATTGAGTTTTTCTTTCAATCTTTGCTTTTCCTGGTCTCTTTCGATTTTTTCTGCTTCCAGCCAAATATCTCTGTTGTTTTCAGGGAGTTGGTTGTAGAAATTAATCGACCATCCTTTTTCTTGTATGTATCTCCTTCTTTCTTTCTTCCATTTCTCTGCTGCGGACCCCTTTCCTTTTTCTTTTTTCGCTTTGCTTGTTCCAGTGCTGTCCAAAAACTTATCTTTCACCTTCAGGAATTCCTTCAGTAGTTCGCTTCCTTCTTTCCTGATTTTTTCTTCGTATTTTATTGCTCTCTTCCTTGTTTTATTTGCTAACTTTTCTCTCCCTGATTCCAATTTCAGCAGGTATTCTGGTGTCGTTCGGTCTAGCTTCAGTACCCACTTTATGTAGTTATCTTGGATATCTTCGATTATTTTATATTCTGTCACCAATACTTCAAATAAGAACATTCTTTTTTCCCAGTTTTCTTTAAAATTTGTCTCGGTTATGCTCCACACTCTTCCTACAACTGCCATAGATTTTTTCTCAGGTTTCTTATTTGTGTTTCGTTGCTGTTATTTCGTTGTATGATGCATCCTAAGTAGTTATATTCTTTCACTTCTTCTAGTTCTTCACCATTACATTTAAATATCATTTTTCTTGTCTTTCCACCGCCTTTTCTGCCTCTCATGATCTTTGATTTATCTGTATTCATCTCTAGACCTATTCTTTCAATGTACATCCGGAATTTCCCTATCATTTCCTTCATTCCTTCTTCGTTGTTTGCCATCTACATCATCGGCGTAAGAAACTGACCAGACTTTTTTCTTTCGTATGACTACCCCTCTGGGCTGAATTTTTTTCATTGTGCCTTCTAAGTCAACGAAGGCTAGATTGCATGCTCAGAGGGCAGCCTTGTCTGACCCCATTTTTTGTGTGTATTTCTTCTGATTTTTCGTCTCTGATTCTCACTTTAAATTTTGTTCCTTCATATATTTCTTCAATCTTTTTTCTTAACCTTGTATTTGTGCCTTTTTCTTCCATTGCTTTCCATATTTTCTTTCTTTCAATTCTATCAAATGCCCCTTTCATGTCCGCAAAAAACATAAATATCTCCCCTTTTTCTTTTTTTATTTTTTCTTCTATCGCCGTCTTTACTATATAAATTGCGTCTATGGTGCCTCGCTTTTTCCTGTATCCTAATTGTGTGTCACCTATAAGATTTTTTCTTCCATTTCTTTCTCTAGTCTGTTTTTGAACACTTCGGCGTATATTTTATGTCCGGTATCCATAAGCGTGATTCCCCTGTAGTTTTTTTGTCTCATCTTTGTCTCCTTTTTTGTATATGGGTGTAACGATGCCCACTTTCCATTCCTCTGGTAGTTTCTTACTCCCGTTCCAGATTTCGTTTATCACTTTGTGCATGTCTTCTAGAATTTTTTCTTCCCCAAAGATGCTTCGTTTGGTATTTTGTCTTCTCCTGCTGCTTTCCTTTTCTTCATTCTTTGTATCGCTGCCTTTATTTCTCCCATTCCTATTTCGTTTTCTTCTTCTTGTGATCTTTCTTCTATCTCTGTTTCCCTAATGTCTACTTCTCTCTCCACACCGTTCATTTGCGCTTTAAAGTGTCTTATCCATTCCTTCATTTTTATCTTTTCATTTATTCTCTCTCTTCTGTGCCTTTGTTTATTTATGAGTTCCCAGAATTTTCTGCCAGATTTGTCTTTCCTTGCTTCGGCCCATTTCCGAATTTCCTGCTCTTCCTTTTTCTTGTCAATTAGCAGTTTATACTTTTTTCTTAGAATCAGAAAATCGCTTATTTTATTTCCATTTTTAGTAGAATTTCTTTTTACTTCTTTGTGTTCCTGCTTCATATCATGACGCTCTTTGACCCACCAGCTTTGTTTCAACGGATCATTTTTTAATTTTACTTTTTTAACCGGTAGTGCGTTTGATATATTTAATTTCAAGTCTTTCCAGTTATCTGTTGGTCCCACTTTTTCTAACCAATTCCTGTAGTCTGCGATTTCTTCTTCATTCCATATTATGAGTTCTTTTATTTCTTCCTCTTCCGCTACTTTCTCCGTTTCTACATCCAGTTCTATTTGCAGCATTAGGTGGTCTGAGGCTATTCCTTCCCTGATTTCCATGTTTTTTATTTTTTCTTCGCCTCTTCTATTCACTATAACATAGTCTATCACTGATCTGCCTTTCGGTCCTACGTATGTCATGCAGGAGTTTTCTTTTCCTGTGTGGTTTCCGTTCAAGATATAAAGGCCTTGCTCCTCCATCCACTTGATTAGTTTTTTCCATCCTCATTCAAAGTTTTATCATCACAGTCTAAGTTCAATTGCTGTGTCATCCTCTACTTTACCTACTTTCTCGGCTGCTCTGGCATTTAGATGCCCCCCTATTATTATTGGCTTCTCTATGTTTTCTTCTAAGATTTCTGTCATCTTTTTGTAATTTTCTTCCTTGTTTTCTCTCATGTACACGCTTATTATAAGTATTTTTTCATTTTCTACTTCCAAGTCTATTTTCATCAGTTCGTCATTTATCTTCTCTGTTGTGATTTTTGTGTGTTGTAATTTACTTCTATATGCAGTGGCCATACCTCCCTTCGGTCTTCCCTTTTTCTTTTCCTTCCTAGCGTTTATCCTTCTTACTTCATATTTTTTTAGTCTGCTTTCTATTTGGTGATCTTTTTCTCTATCTATCCATGTTTCTGTCAAGTTTATTATATCAAATTCCATTAATTTTTCCCAGTCTTCTTTGTCCAGGCCAGTTATCCCCCTTAGATTCCAGAAGACCACTTGCATTTTTTGCATGTTGTCGTTAGTTGTGCCTCGTTTCTTCTCTTCTCTCTTGTTCCTTCCGAAACCACTTTTCCAGCCTTTCGTTCCAATAGAGCTCTTCGTGGTTCGTCACTACTCTATTACGTCCTATCTTACAATCAGTTTCTTGGTTTTTAAATTCTTTGCATTCCTGATTACTTCTTTCCTATTCTGTCTTTCCAACCATGTCTCATTATTGTTTATGTAAATCTTTTCTTTTTCGTGCGTTAGCTTATTTTTATTCTTCATAATGTTTATTTTTTGTACCATGTTTTCAATCTGCGCTTCTATAGTGTTGTTCATATTCTTCAAGTGCCAGAGTTTTCTTACCGTTACTTTTACTCCTAGCTTTTCTTTTATCCATTCTTCTAAGTTTACTTTTTCTTTTATGTTGGTGCCAGTGATAACAACGTTTTTCTTCCTTCTTTTCCTTTCTGCGCTTTCGACCAGCCATTTCAGATCTTTGCCTTTCTTCTCTGCAGTTATGACCTGCAACTCCTCTACGCATGTCTCCATTTTCTCTTCTTTTGCTTGTTAGTTTCCTCTTCTAGCTCTCTTATTTTTTCTTTTGTCTTTTTTTCTAGTTCTTCAAGCGATTTTTTCATCATTTCTATTTTCTGTTTGTTTGTGCTTATCCTTTTCCCTTTATCTTCATTTTCCCTTTTCAGGGCATTTATGTCCTTTTTCATTTCTCCTACTTCTTGCTTTAACTTTTCCTCAAGTTTATCAAGTTTATCCTTTAGGCTCTCGTTTCCTTTTTCGATTTCCTTCTGCAGATTTTTCCATCTCTCTTCCTCAGCTTTCTCTCTTTTTAGCTGCTTTTCTTCTTCGTCTTTCCATCTTTTCTCTAGCATATCTATAATCATCTTTTGCTCACACATTTTTCTACTATTTTTATCATCAGTATTTTGTTTTTTATATCTTTTCCCTCAGGGCTTTCATGGGCTTTTATTTTTTTATTTTCTTCCGAACTTATCCCCAGCCAGCTCTTTAAACTCCTCGTGCTACTGCTTCTACTTGAGTTAGATGAAGAACGGCTCTTGCTTTTAGATCTTAATGGCCTGCCTCTTCTCTTTGGTTTTGTCTCACTTTCGATTACCTGATTTAATTCTGATTCATCACTGGATGACATTACTCACATTAAAAAAAGTGAACCCACCATGATGTTACGCCTATGGGACAGCAAGCCACTATTTTTTAGGTTTAACTCAGTTTTTGTGTTAAACTTTTTTGCTGAAAGATTATCTCCCGCTATGCCCGGGTCGACCCCTTGGAGGCCACACAAGCAAATTAATGCTACAAACTTAATAATTACTCACTTACTAACCCTCAATAACCAGAAGTTCCCCAATCCATTCACTGATCATAACATCCTTTTTGCGCCACTCAAAAATCAAATCAAATCGCCCAAAAACAACCCGAAACTATACAAACGCGCAGAGCTCGACACAACACGTCCGCACTTCAACACTCGACCTCTCAATCCTCTAATTTATATACATAGTATAATATAATAGTACATAATAAATCTATATGAGTAATAAAAAAATTACCTGTTTTCCAGATCCTTACATTTGTACAAGATGAGCATACTCCATACATACATTTTTATTGAACCTCCAATCTTTTCCCTTGGTTCGGAACATTTACTGCTATAACGTAAAGATTACAGGTATATTTTGTAAAATTTTGTAAAATAAAGCAATATTAAAAGGTGCATTGTATAGTTTACCAAATGAATTACTGCAACTGCAAGTATAGAATTTTTCCACATAATCATTAGGTATATCTGTTTTCCTTACTACTGCATAATGTTTTAATGTTCTACTCTTCATACCATTCTTCGTAACTTTCTCTGCTAGAAAAAGATCTTAGCATTTGTTATTTTATATTGTGTTTTCAATTTATTGTACGTCCCACAAGCTAACTCATAACCTGTACACAATGGGCTAATAATATGCGACTTCTTGACATTGGAGTCACGCCGTTGCTTGCGAAAATTTTTTAAATTTTTATTCCTTGCTGAAATAGAAAAAACTCCAAATTGCAGAATAGGGACGTATTGCATACCCAATCTTAGGAAAATTTTCAAAAATTGCGTATAAAACACTAATTAAAATTGACTTGCCCCCTCCCCAACATTAGGTTTGCAAAAATAGATTTTTGTTCTGAAGAAAAAATATACTTTTGTAGACAATTGTTATGCCGCTTCTATTCAATAGTAAAAATGGCGTATTTTTCATGAATTGAATAATAATAACGGTTCTTTTTATGATGGGGATGAAAACAGTGGTAATGAAAGAAAAATATACATGAAGCTGTAAGAATATAGATAAGCGGATAGGACATTTGACTTGGTCTCAGGTTTAGACATAGTATAAAGATTCTTACGGTAGGGTCACCCCTTTAATCTTTATGTGCGCTGAGCTGCTATATAAGAGGACGAATCAATAGCTCCATTGAGATGGATGTATGGACGTGACTGGAGAGTGAACCCACTGTATAGAATCTTTGTACTGTGGTTTAGATACAAAAAAATGGATACAATCGTTCTTTCTTGTCTTTTTTTTATGAGGATACCGATACCGAATAAGTATAAGATCTCGTTTCGTTTTAATTTCTGCGTTGCATTCTCCATGGATTGGCGAAGATTTTCCAATAGGTGCAGTCGAATTTGCAATTCCGATACCACATCAGGTCGAACGATGTAGTGTTGGTTGCCCCTGTGTCGATAACCATTTTAATATTGTGATGATTTATAAATCCATCCACGAACAGTGATGGTTTCGCGTAGTCTCGAAATGATGACTTCCTCGGGGACTTGGTGCGGGTGTGCAAATTTGCGCCCCATAAAGTTAGTTGAGCTTAGTTTTCCTACTGCTATGTTTCCCTGTTACTCTGGGCTTAGGTGACCTATTCTTACACAATTCCAGTACTTCAGACGACTATAGTAATTCATGCAATCTCGAGCAAAATGGCCAGTTTTTCAACATTCCCAACATCTCGAATTTCGTTGGCTATAGCTTTTTAGTTGTTTGATATGCCTGTTGTAAATGTTATAGATGATGGAAGTCATATTGTTGATACTCTGGCATTCCATGGAGTGTATCCAGCGCCTTTCCTCGTAAAGCAATTATTAGTGCTGTTGTTTTCTCTTAATCGTTCCAGGCATTTGTTTCCGCCACGACCTCAAATACCCCCTTGAAAATAATTACCGCAGTTGTAGGCGAAAAGTCGGAAAATAACTTGCAAAGACAACGGCCAGGAAAAATAGTAATAGCAATACATTAAGTTGGTATTTATATTGAGGAATGTTTTGTTTTTAAACTTTGTATCATTATTTAAAGGTCATACAGTACCTTTTTATTGCGATCAATACCTTAGAAGAGAAACAAAAAGATCAGATTTTGTTAAAATAAATAATAACTGGTTAAATTCTATTTATAGAAGGTAAAAATTGTTCGTTTAAGACCAAATTATAATTCGAAGATTGTCCTAGGCATATACCGACAAAGTGGTGTATTGTGATAAAAACTCTGCAGCTGTATACATCGATGGAGAATGTAAGCAGTATTGGTTATCGAATGACTAGAATAAGTAAACAATTTAGTACTACACTAATAGCCCTATCATCACTATTAGAAAAAGTTAATTGTTTAGTGATATTTGCTTGTAGGTGAACTTACCGCTTTATATTCGAGGACAACACTACTAAGTTTATATACATACATACGTGCACTAAACAATTTTTGAGTCGTCCAAAAAAATTCGACTTTGGCGTATTTCATATGCAGCGATCACCAGATCATTAAGATTGTGCATTTTTCGTCAAGAAACTTACGCACTGGTCTTGTGAAATAATACAGTTGCAAAGACGTACGAGTACCTACACTAATATTGATTATTTTGAAATTTCTTTCCGGCGTGAAGCAACATTCGTCTGTAAATACACTATGGAAAAAATTAGGCACAATGGCTGTTCAACGCTGATGCACACAAAGAATAGGCAGTAGTGACATTTAGCATATCGTCGCTTGATTGGCTAATGGGGTGGATGCCATGCAACCTTATTTACGGAAATCGTCACAATACGGAACAACTTGGTACCAACCTTTTTTACTTTTTGTCTGCTTTTGTTATCCAATATTTTCTCATTGTTCCATGTTCATAGGAGTAATGCAAATATTGATATGTATATCAGGCTGCGTGAAGTTGGCGAATAAAAATTTGTTATTTACATTTTAGTGATCTTATTCAATTGTTGAGGGTTTGTTGATGAAATTTTATTATTTGTTGATACGTAGGCAGCTAAGCTAAGATTAGGGAAACTCTATTCTCCAGTCCTTAAATAAGAAATTTATTTTAAAATGATTACATTCGACTCTGTTTTGGAAGGTAAAGAAAACAATGCCTGGGACCATTTTCGCTTTATTACAAACGATTTTTTGAGAAATAAGGGTGACAACTATGCTAAACTTATCGAAAATATGTAACAATCAGGTTGCAACATGTCCTTCTTCCAGACAATGCTGGGGCTTTTAACGATTATCCATCACCACATCGTAATTATGGAAAAACAATATCAGCACAAGTGGAACGTCTTTATGTTGGCGGATTATTAATCGGTGCAGTGCTTCATCACAATTGTTATTTAATTTTTAATATTAAAACTGAAATTATCAACAAACTAAGTCACACCTACGTCTTTAAATTTTACCAAAATGCACGATAGCTTATTTACTTCAAATGACTGCAAAAGTAGAATGACTAATACGCCAAAATAATGTTGGTAACATATGGTAAAAAGTGTAGTATCTACTACTTACGGCTGAACATCCACACTAAGAAAAAACGAATGTAAAGATTTTCCTATTCAACTTATTTCCTTAAATAAGTAGTAAGTAAGTTAGCAGTAAAATTTCATGTAATATAGTGTGTCACATAAATTGAGAGCATATAGGAATTTTTTTTTGCTTTTATTCTTACGAAAAATAGTTACTTTTTATAAAAAGTCCTGTAAGGTCTATAACACATTTTGGCATCTTCAGGTTTAATTATTTGTCAGTCATATACAAGTTGTGGTACAAAATATGAAATATGTGTAACAGTAAAGTACCTTTATTTTTGAAAATAACAGAGATATTTATAAAGAAAAGTTGTTGAGAATTAAAAAGTAGTTACAAATATGCATGCATACCTATGGATTGCTAAAATTATGATTTTGTATATTTCTTCATACTCCTGTTCCATATGAGTGAATACTTATGCATGTAAATTAACTATAATACAATTCTGATCAAAATTGTCGTGTAAATGTCTGTCCGTCTTACACTGAATGTTAATTATTAATTTTAAAATCAAATAATGCAATAATGCCAGCGACTTTGGGTTTAGAAATTTTAAATGTGCATCATTTCCCACATTTTAATTTTTTCTTACAAGCTTAAAATTGCCCATTATTACTGATGTCATTATGTGTTTTAGCCCATGCAGGATTTGTTATAAAGAGTAACTGTTTTTCATGGAATTAATAATAAAAAAGTTTCCCATAGGCTGCCAACTTAAGTAGACACAGGGTATATAATGATTATGTTAAGATAGTTGTGCTACAATATTGTCAATAAGTTCGTGGTAAGAGTATATGAGCATTTTACCCAAAACTGTACCCGTGGCCACATTACACATACAAATCTCTTATATACGTATATACAAACACTGAAATTTTTTCACGTCTCACATTCCGACAACGTCACTTATTCTCCACTAGTTGACATGCTGGGCTGGGCTTGTTGAGCATTTCTAACGCGCATCGGTTGCCAAGTTGTTTCTATCCTTTTTTTTAATAATTTTTAAACTTTGCATTATGATAATTTAGCAACCGGAAGGTCATTACATTTGTTTTTTCTTTTTTTCCAATTCAGAACTAAAACATTTATAAATTGTTAGTTTTGATATATTAAATTGAGAGCATATACTCTCCATGTTAATGACCGGAACTTAAATTAAGTTTATCTCGAATGAGAGGTCAATCGACTTCAAATTTTAAGGATAATTGTATTATAATGTTTTCAATGAGTATATTAAAAGTAAGAATATTCTGACATTATGGCCATTGCACGACAACCACCTTAATAAAATTACGCAACAAATGGTGTCAACTAGATATAATAGGGAATTCGCATGGGGAAGAAGTTGCAATCCGATGAACTGATGAAGTACACAGAAATTGCGATAACAATTAAGCAACTACATCAAGCCAGAATGTAAACAATGATGGCTGTGTTGTGTAAAGTATTTACATACTACTACGCTACTAATCAAATAACTACTTTAGAACAAACAGAATAGCTCAAAACCCCAACGCCAAAACACGACACTGTAGTTGTCCGAAGCACTTTTCGGTAACAAAGTTACCTTCTTCAGGGACTGAAGTAAAACTGTTTTACTTTGTTCTACAACAACCGCCAAAGTTTTTCCAATCTTCATAAATAACTACTTTGTTCATCGCTGATAGTATGCAGTACTGTTTAAAGTTCACCTATGTATGACATTCAGAACACAAAGAAAAAAATTAACGTTACGTAAACATTATTAGGTAAATTAGTATATTTTGAATAGTAAATTGTAACTGTATTAATTTCCAAACCACCATTTAGGTATTGTCAAGGTGCGTTACCTCTTTTTTTATGGGTGGTTTACCAATAGCTCTATGCTAGCATTTAAAAAAATTAATTACACCTTACACGGGCTGTTTCATTAAATTGAATACTGTTCGTCTTGATCCTCACGCATTGGTCGAAGCAATGCTATTCTAAACACACTGGGAATGACTTCAACTAACTACATACTAACAAGCCTACGACGTTAAAAGAATAGTTACTCTAGACTGGTTGTAAAATATACATTTACTTAACTTTCTTGTTTTATAGTGCTTTATCACCTCTTGGAAGCTTGCTACTTATTTCATAAATACCCTCCATAGGAGTTCGTAAATTATCAAAACAGAAAAGATACCTACTTACGATTGAAACAAAGAAGGCGCCATAATCGTCTTTTATAAAAAAAACACTTTTAAAGTAAATAGGTCTATTTCTTATAAATTATAAAAATGATAATAATACAAAATAAGATCCTAAATATTTATCCCTTACAACATAAAACTACTAATTAATTTTAAAATTAACTCGCCATATTTTGTTGTTGCACAAAATTACATGCACCATACTGTTCATCGAATAATGTAAGTCCTACGGCTTTGATAACACACATTAATTTTCTTAACTGGATCATGTTACATAGAAAGTCCATCTGCCGTTTGTGATTTGAATTACATAATTAAAAATTTCATACTGTTACAATTGTAAGGTAGGCATATTAAAATTCAATTCACTTGCTTTTTGTGTAAAATAACTAATTCATTTTGAAATTAATTTTTAAAACGCTAATATGATAAAAAATTATGTTTGTTTATTTGCCTTTAAAATAAAGAAAACATCTAATTGACATTTTTCATCTTTCAATTGAATTTAAAAAAATTCCGAACCCTTAAATAAATAATATATAATTAAACAATTTAGTACTANAGCAGATAGATAAAGGCCCCTTCCAATATAGTAATAATTCTTCTGGCATGTACTATTACGTATTATACTATAACTTTTTTAAAAACAAAGGATCTCTTACAAAAATAATGAAATACAATAAATTGACATAATCTTGTAATTTTTGATGTCTATATCTTATTTACAGCTTTTAATGCTGTTTCCATTTTTAGAATTATTTATTGTAAATAAGGTTTTACATTTTACTTTCTAAACTTCTGGCTGCTTTTGATAAAACTGGATCTGTTAAAACCTTTTACAATTAGTAATACTTTATTTTTCAAATCAATTTTGTAATAAATTTGGTCGGTAACTAGATCTGTTTTATTAAACATACTGTACTGGATTGTATGGGCATAAATAATATATATTAATTATTAAATACAATTTCTCAGTTATTAATTTGTTAAGGAGAAAACAAACTAATAAATTAACTAAAAAATTGAAAAATTATTCCATTTTACAAATTATGTAAGTATTTAGAAAAAAATATGACACAGCAATGTATAACACTGCAACATAAAAATAAACTAAATAGTAGAAAATATTCACTCCTATATGTAGAACTCACTCGATAATGGAATTAATTGTATAGGCGAAATAAATTGAATTAAATGGACTCATATTTTCTAGATGTAGTGTATATCAATGTTTACAAACAATAACTATTCATATTTTTTAATTTCAATTCTCCAATATAAAAATTTATTATTACCTATTCCTGGTTTACATAGTATAGCTATTTTCTTGAAATACACTGTACATGTTAGGTATATGCAATTTTTTAAAAATGAAAAATAAAAATAAGATAATAAAAAAAAGTACGAAAAACCCATTGGAAATAGTGGAGAAAATTCCAATATATACTTTAATAATGTAAAGACTAAACCATTGTTATTTCTTAAAGTTATGTTAAAATATTTAAAACATATATATAATGTAATCAGATAAAGGCAGCATTAATACCGAATAATAAGGATAATAGCTCAATAGAGGCGGGCAATAATCTTGCGGAACAACTATTTTCCATATCTGAAGGTCATTCACATCACATACAACAATTTATAATTATAAATCGCATTTCTGTTGGCTACACAAGAAAATATCAAAATAATTTGAATTTGTATGAGCTTTTATTAACGTTTATGCACGATTTTTATCTATTTATTAATGATAGAATCACATTCAGTTTGTAGCAATATTTAAGAGTTTTACTATTGTTGCGGTTGACTCGGGTTATGCGGTAAAGTTGATGACGAACCCTACGACACAGATAATTAAAGTATATAAATTAAAAATAACTTATACCTAACTTACGGAAATAGACTGATAATGAGCCGTTGTGGGGAGCATGTGATGTGAACTAGGACCTAATTTTGATCCGTCTTCAGCTTTTTCTTCTTCTCGTCGTTTTAGACAGGCAGCTTTAGGGTTTAAATTTCTTTCTGTAAAGGCAACATATGCATTAGCAATTACCTGCCGAATTATACTGTAGTTTTCAAAAAGTTAAATAGATCGCATTTCACGCATCTTTCGCTTTTGGTCATGAATAACTGAGTGATAGACAAACACACAGCCCCACAGACATTATGCTTGCACATCATTTTATTTTATGCTTATTTTTTTAAATATTCAATATTTATCAGTCGACTTTTTAATGAAATTTAAACGATACTAATTTATATCTTTAACAGTATGTATCTAAAATACTAAATTCTTTATCTAAAAACTTTGAATATAAAAACAATGACGGTGATAAACAATTAAGTGACTTCAAACTTGAAAAACAAAGTTTTTTATTATTTATTTTTAAAATGGTTATACGGTGTTGTTAATAACTGCAATTCCATATTTAGCTATACGATTAGTTTGTGTTTTAGATATAAATTTAAACTGGAGAAGATAACTTTGTTATCAAAAGGCACGTTAGACGTTTAATCACTCGTCTTGTTCTTTAGTGGGTCATTGCTATCTTGCAACCCCCTTCAGTTGTTTTTCTAACATTATAAATTTATGAACCAAATAAAACTGCAAATTGTAAATAAAATAAATATTATAAATCGCAGCTTTATTATAATTAAATTTCATAAATCGAATTAGGTATATTATTTAAAATTACCGAATTTTATACATAGTTAACAATTGTTTCGTTTCATCTCCTCACTAGTGCTCTCTCATAATGCTGTAAATTTGTTGATCAAAACTTGAAAAATAAAGATGTATCTCCTTCTAATCTCCATGATGCTATTGCACCGTCTTCGTGCACACCTTATTTAGAGAGCGTGTTTATGTATTTTGAAGTGGATAGTTTTTCTTTAAATTCGAAAACTATTACAAGTAATATAATTTTCACGTAACATTTATCACATGAAATTAATTAAGTTATTTTTTTCAGACTGTATTTTGTTTGTCAAAAGTGACATAGGTACACATTGGTTTTTTGATAAAAATTGGAAATATTGTGTTAGTGTTTATATACATCCTTTTAATGCCATTTTGGTCTACTTTTGTGTGTTTAATTGCAACCCAATAAATTAAGCATATACGTATTGACGCATAATGAAACACCTATCGTACTACTTGTTTATTTTTGCTAATTAAATTATAATTAACACCACTATAACTAATTAATTACTTCGTAACTGCTATATCGTCCACTCTATCGTTTCTTCGCTCTTCTTACTTTGCCTACTTAGTAGAACTACAATTCAAACTGACTGACTCTTTCCACCTCGCGTCAACCATTTATAATAAGGATTGGACATCTGAATCAATCCACTGTAGGTCTTTATACAAGACACTGTCCACTTTTATAATTGATCGTTCCAATCAATGACGTCACATCTGCAGGGAGCAAGCCAGTAACTGTATGGATCAATCCAAGCTTGTTGAACTTTAGACTTGATGGATTGTTTAGCCACATTTTGTCACCTTTATTAAAACTAGCATACTGGCCCCACTTTCGTATTTGGCTTTTATGCGGTCACTTTCGAATCGCACCTTCCTACGTACAGCATTATGACTTCTAGTCGCTTTTGTAGTTTGGACACGTACCTGCTTCTCTGTAGATTATGGAGAATTTTAAGGGAGACGAAACATCATATCCGCCGGATACCGGATTTGCTTACCAAATAAAATGCTGGCCGATGTTCTTCTAGTTATTTCATGAATGACAAATCAATAAGCTAAGAGGAATAAAGATATGTGTTGGTCTTAGTCAGTTTGGTGCTCATTAACGAAGCTTCTTAATTTGGTCTCCAAAGTAGCGTTGAAACGTTCAACTATTCCATCTGACTGCGGAAGTAAGGGCGTAGTACTCGTTTTGTAATGTCCATTGGTTCAGTGACCTTCTTAAAAGTCGATTCGATGTTCCTGCTCGGTCGGAGCGTAAAACCTTTGGTACTCCATATAGGATAATTCAGCTTTACGGCAACGATGTGTTTTTCCGACTTCGATATCGCGTATGCTACTTGCTAAAGTTATCCATGATAACCAAAATGCACCGGTAATCGGAGTACATCATTGGAAATGGTCTTGTTATTTCGATTCTCATTCTCTCCAAAGACGCTCACACATTGTACTGCTGCATTTGCCCATGACTGTCGGCAATTCCTTGTACTAATATTCTACATTGCTTCTACTTCGTAGCCAATATAATCGCTCACATTCCTTCCTTACGGTCTTCTGTTGATAAATGCCTTTCGGTTTTAGATTCGTACATTGATAAAACATACATTTTTTTTATTATTTCAACTTGTTTAAAATACCTTTCCTAAATTCGTCATCAGCTCTCCGACTATAAGCGATTCTCATATATATGCGCTGAAGTATTAGGCCTGAGAAAATAAATCATACTTGTGCAATCGTGCAATTGTGTCAATAAAATAAAGAATATTTGTGGACCCTGGCTATTCATAGTGTGTTATTTTAATGTGATACGTCGATAAGATCTCTTCGGAGGTTGCAAATTAAAACCACGTGAGTTTAAAATTAGCGACATGGTAATGGTGGAAAGGATACCCATTATCAAAGGCTTGAAAAGTGGGAAATCGGTTCAAAGTTACGTTGGACCAGTCCATGTTCTTGAAGTACTCCTGAATGATCGTCATCGGGTCCAGTCTCTATCGAGGCACTGACAACGACTTTGTAGTGTAAGTGCCAGTTATAAGATAAAGCTCTTTTGAGTCCAAACATTACAGTAAGGGTGAGTTGGTATTTTGTCACCTTAAATTTAAAAGTTCTTGCTGATATTGCGTCGGAACTTAACTAATTCTGAATACAATGACATTGTGGAATAAACTCCTCTATTGCTTTCATACTGCCCTGTTAAGTTTTACTTTATTATGAACCTTACTGGATTATTGGGCATGTAATGTTGTTAATTTGATCTCATTTTTGATAATGCAAGGTAATAGTTCTGCCACTCGTACAGGTAACAATAGTATTAATTTTAAGCCAGCCATTTCTCTTATGCGAATCATTAATAATACTTCTATGGCATTTGATTTTATAATTGTCTAAGATTTATGAATTGTGGTCCGGTCGCCCTACTGGACAAAAGCATATGCATATGTGAACGATTCGCAAAAATTATATGCACTCTAGAGTCTAGACTAAAACCGGTTGAGTCCATGTTACGTTCTTTTGGATGATTATCTTGCCCATTAATAAGCTGAGTTGGTATACTTTGCAGTTCTGCATATTGCATGAAATATGTTTTGAGGTAAGCACGAAATATTTCTATCCCTATCATCACTTGTTGATTCTTTGGGTTTCAGGTATGTCAATGTGGTCTCCAGAGGCGGATTAAATGCGCTCTAGGCTATCACCTCATAGGCGCCCTCTGGCGGTCATATATTTTGCAAAATACTTTTTTTTTTATTAGGTACTTCCTTATTTTCTTTTTTTTAGGTTTAAAAACTTCCGCGCACGCCCCTTTTTGACCTTGCGCCCCTAGGCATATGCCTACTTTGCCTTATGGATAATCCGCCACTGGTGGACTCCAGTAATAGTTTAACTCCTGTTGAGGCCACAGCATCATTGCGACTCTAGATTAAACCTTGTCGAAATCAATGGTTCATTGCGACCCCAGTAACCGTAGAGATTTTTGAAAATGTGGACTCTAGTTGTAGGTTACCTCCTGTTGAGGTTGCAGGATCATTGTGACTCCAGCACTGTAGAGATCTTTGAAAATGTGGACATTAGTCGTAGTTTAACTCGTGTTAAGACCAATCAACCTTTGGACTCCAGTAGCAATTGTCACACTCCTGTCGAGGTCATAGCATCATTACGACTCCAGATTAAACCTTGTTGAGACCAATGAGCCTTTGGACTCCAGTAGCAATTGTCACCAAAAAGTCAAAACTAATACTTTTACTAAAAGTTTGATTCATCATTTATTTTATATCTTCTTTGAGATAAATTTGGTGTTGTTTTTTTTTTAATTTCTCTGTTACCAGAAATGCGCGTCCAGGTGCGGGCACGGATCATACCCGGTCATCATGGCCGAATGTGATGAATCTCGGTCCATGGTTACGCTATATTAAATAATTATAACAATAACAAATACCGGACGACTTGTAGACCGCAATGGCACGCATGCAGGGGACAAGGAGAGTATGATTCATGCTGTTCTGCATTCTGCTATATCTTTTCAATCTGAACACTTTGTTTTAAATAAATTCAACTATAATCTAAAAACGGTAAAAGTGATTTAACATTAGGTATATCTTTTACCTTGGAGTATTCATTTCTAGATACAGTTTCGGTTTTTATAAATCCGACCTAAAATTACCATGCGCTGATTAGAAACGTGAATGCGAATCACGTTAATATAAAAATTCATACCTATGAATGCATAATTCAAACTGTAGCGCCTTCAGTTGCACTTGAGCTTTGTTGAACTATAATCTGACATGAAAGTAGGTGTGTGTATCGATATTGAATTTTGACAATTTATTTTTCTTTTATTCATAAAACATTTGCAAAGCACAAAAATGCTTGAGAAAAATAAGTTTTCAGATTAAAGAAAAATACCGTTAAGTTTACGGAGATTTAATAATGAAATGACGAACTAAGAGTCTCCATTCATTATACGGTACGTGTTAAATGCCACTTTTAAAATAAAATGATTCAAATTTTAACTCCGTTCGAAACCTTTTTTTATCGTTTTCATAAAAAGCTTTCAATTGTGGATTACTATAAAATTTATTGTCATTTCGAATACTTTAAAATTGAATCACTTCATAATTAATGTGAAAAGAATTCATTTGAAAGTAAAGTAGACTGTAAAAATATTCAAAGGAAACGGAATTATTTTCCGCAAACTTAAATTTAAAATAAACAAATAAAAGTACTATTTTTAAACATTACTTACCTCTCACTTGTTGCTCCAAAGTCATAATAACTTCGACAGCCATATTTAATATGCCCAGTTTTGTTTGAGGTTTATCTGTTTTTAAGTGGGCCATGCACATCCTGCCTAATTCTTTAAGGGCTTCGTTAATGTCACGTATTCGAATCCTAAAACGCTTAAACATTACTAAATACATTAACACCAATTAAAAATACACATACTTATCGAATTACGCAGCACTAATTACATGGGATTAAAGAATGTTCATCCCTTTTGGGATTAAAATTTTACGAAATGGATATACAGTGGAACTCGGTTATAACAACTCTGATGAATTTAATTTTTTAATAGTACCGCAAAATTACCATTCACGTCAATACTATAAACCTCGGTTATAACAATAACAAACTCCTAGAATATAACGTCATATTTTTAATACTATAAACTAACGGTCGATATACTTACAAAGGCAGGGGCGGATTTACTTAAGGGTTTTTTGGGCTGCAGCCCAGGGCCTCGTGGATATATAAAGCCCCCAACCTATATTGAAAACAATAGACGATATTGTGAAGAAAAAAAATATCCAAAATTGAAAAAATCTGATCATAAGGTTAGCAACAGCGATAGAAACCTGTGTGCGTATCTATTGAACGGAACGGGAAATTCCCCGTCGCTTGTTTTCGGCCGGTGTATTTTCTAGCGTGTGCATCTATTACGGGGGACGCAATTTTGTTTTTTTTTCGCGTTTTTGTTCTCATTGTCAAATTGATTTTGTTATTGTTGGAACTATGTTAAAATATTTAATTGTCCTATTTTTTCCTATACCATATACGTCCAAGTACTATATTTGGTTATTATGTCAAAATTCCAGAGTGATGCTATAACTGAGTTCTACTGCACATTATGACTACTTAAGATTACTGCAGGAAATAAAATCATGGAAGAACCGATTTTTCAAACAAATTATTTCCTTAAATATGCAACAATATACTGTTACCGTTTGAATAAAATTTAGGGCTAAAATTAAATTTAAATTGCAGTCGTGAATATCCTATTAAACAAAAGAATTTATTTGTTTTAACCAGTTCCTTGATTACTCAATTACACAGGCCTGCATTTTGGCACCTTAGTAAAGGCGTATTGTTGTTTAAAACACAATTTTGGGTAAATTGGTGTCTCTGGTTTTACTTTTTTTTGTAAGTTTTTTGTGAAGAAAAACTACATAACCAATAATGCAAATCAATAAATATTTATAAAGTCATTCTTGATAGCTTTTCTCCATTTTTGCATACCAAGCTTTCCAGAAAAATTGTCTAAATGTGCATATAATAAGTGAATTTTATGGTGTATAATTATTCCGCAGAAATTTATTTACAACTTAAAACGTATACGATCATTCCTTTCAGTGATGCTCATTACGTATGGAATCATATCAATTTTCATCAGAGTTTTCATTTGAGGACAAACAAACGAGACCAACTTTTGATAGATCAGGAAAAATATCGATTTTGTTTTGTTCAACGTTTTAACAAATTGTTAAATTATACTAAGTTTAATACGGAGTGGAAGTAACAGTGCTTTTACAGAATCAATTAAACGCACAATATCCTTGTTGCCAGGTGTTAAATTATTTTTTTGTATATCAACTCCTATTTACACAGTGTTTGAAGCTCTACTATTCCATTCACATAGAAAACACTGAAACTTTGTAAAATCACGTTTCTACTGAAAAGTAGGCCTAAAATTTTTAGGTTGTCGCATGGTAGCCAAATATAATTTTTGTAGTTTATTCTCATTAGAAGCTGTTCCAAATGTTCATAGTTCTCTTATAATTAGATAGAATGTTCAATGTGAAATAAGTAGGTCAACGAAGTTTTCACAATAAAAAGTAATCTGTGCTGTTTAAAATTCACTCACGCAATTGAGATATAAATGATATAGTATCTTTCAGAAATATATATATATAGGAATTCCTAATCTCGGACTACGGCTTTTTCTTAAGAAAACAGCTGGTGTACTTTTTGACTTGAAGATGAAGCTTGAAACACATTATTTATCTGCCATAGGCAAGGATTCCTCTTCTTCATCATCATTATCATCAATAACATTTGTAACACTTTCGCATTGAAAGTGACACCCACTAGTATAGATTGTAAACCATCGGATAAGTGCTAATCGCATTTCCGATTCAATATTTGGGTACATAATGAGTTTTAAAGTTTTTTTATTACAATCTTTAATATCGTAAGAAAGACAATAGTCCATGTAGTTTGTGGGCCTTTTTCACAGTATACCGAAGGATAGGGGGAAAAGCAAAGAATTATTCGTTTAATCCTTTGAGCTTTTTGTGGTTCTCATGATTTATTATGACCTCCAAGATTTACTTTAATGTACGCAAAATGCGCATTCACAACAGAGTCAATATTTCATTTCGTACTTTTTCACTACAAAGTTATCGCAAATGCATCAAAAATTAAGCTAATTTTTGCAACATCGACGAAACAATTTTGCAGCAAACTGCTCTAAGCAAGCACAAACAAAACTTATGTGCTACTCATTAAACTAAAAGTGTAGACTAATCCAAGCTCTGATTTATGCATTCCTACTAATTCAGAGATACCCCGTCGCGCATCGGTATACATATTCTTCCAATTATAGGGATTTCCCGTCGGTATTTTACTTAATTATATGGTAAAGTTAGCGACGTTTCTGAAATAAACGCGAATTATTTGTTTATAAAAAAAAAAAAATGTTTTTATAATAAGTACTATACGTGAAAGAGACAAACAGCAATTGATATTGGTTATTAATACGCCACAATTTTTTTAAAATTCCAAAATTGTCAAATCACAAATTATTCGCAGGCCTGTGTAAGTAGGTACACAAAAATGATAATCGAAAATATTGCATATAATTTTATGTAACATGAATATATTTATTTAGAAGAATATAACATAAGAACGAACGAAACTGGAAAAAACATATACGATTTTATGGCCATCGTGAAAACAATTGCGACGTACCAAAGAAAAGAACAGAACTGATATTAATTGATAAAGGCATTTTTTTTCTTTACTAATATTAAACTGGCGACCTATGCCGATAATGCATAGAACTTAAAACTATTCCTAACCTATTCATAAACCTAACCTAAGCCCTCAGCGCGTAACACTTATCTCATAACATTTTTCAATAATCTTATAATGTATATTTTAATTCATATGTAGATGCAACCTGTTCTACATTCGAATGTAGTCATTTTATAACCTCCAATACTTCAAAATCGGTGATTATGAATTATATTCTGACTAAATGACCATCCTAGATATCGAAAATAAGTCTATAATCTTTTCATCAAATGATTTCACAATTACCTAGTCCAGAATGAGTTGATTACAGCAACCATTATGATTGCAAGAAAAAAAAAAACGTTTTTTCTCCTGTTTTAATCCATTGACATTTCTTAAATCGCTTAATAAAATCGAATGAAATTTTACAAAATCCTAGTACTCTAAGCGGTAAACCAATCTCCTGTATGGCATTTCATGCACCTTTTCTACAATTTTCAACCGAAAAGTGCAATTTTAAACCGATTTATCAATGGCTAATTGAGAGATGGAAAAACACACAGTCAAACTTGCCGTAGAACATTATTATACATTATTGTTAAGAAGATACTTTTCAATTTACTACGAAATTATAAGATTTAACTTAATTTTTGACTTTAAAAACCAGTTTTTTCTTTATTATAAGCAGGGGATGACGTATAGTAACTGCTCACTTACCTACATCAGTCGTGTTTTATTATGTAAGTGTGTAAAGTTGTCTCACGGTGACCACCCATTAGAATATTTTGGAAACTTTAAATTTTAAAAATTTATAAAATAATGTTATTAGATATGCCCTCTTCAATTAAAATAACGGCATACAGGTTAATTGTTGCCACCTCAAACACCGATACTGACACTTCAGTAATTAAATATTTTGATTCTCAGTGTCATTACTGAATATTATTTTTATTAAGAATGGAAAATGAATACACATATACAAATTAGTAAGTTAGTTAAATTAGTAAGCAATTGTTTATCCTAATAGCTCGAACCATTAAACTAATATATTAAATTAATATCAGCTGATAACGTTCATTATTTAATTTTATTTATTGTTTAGTTAGCTTTTTTGCTATTGTTATCTGTAGTCCACCGTATAATATTGAGATACAATCCAGAAAGTTTTATTTTATTTCACTTCTACTCTTAAGATTCTTTCTTAAAGTAAAATGGAAAACACTCTTGACAAGTAGAATTAAAACATAACTGAATTTAGGATTTATGTAGGTAATTGTATCACACGGTATGTACTTTTAAACTTTATTTCAATATTAGTTATACAGTGTATACTTAAGTTGACAGCTTATGGGAAACTTTTTTATTATTAATTTTAAGACAAAAGTTACAATTTATAAAAAGTCTTCTAAAACACATAATCACATCATCAGACTTAATAACTTTTCAGTCATATACATTTTTGGCACAAAATATGAAATTTTTGTAACAGTAAAGTACCTTCATATTTGAAAATAGCAGAAATCTTTATAAAGAAAATTAAAAAATAGTTACAATTATGCAACCATATTTATCGATTGCAAAAATTATGATTTTGTATTTCTTCATACTCCTGTTCCATATGAGTGAATAAACAATAATACAATGCTGATCAAAGCTACCGTTGTAAGACATATTTGTCAGTATTTCACAAATATTCAATTATTAGTTTCAAAATAAAAAAAAGAAACCATAATGTTGGCGACTTTGAGTTTGAAACTTTAAATGTGCATTATTTCTCGCGTTTAAAATTATTTCAATTTTTTTTCCAAACTCAAAGTCGCCTGCATTATTGCTTTTTTTTGATTTTAAAATTAATATTTGACATTCAGTGAATGATTGACAGATCTGTTATTTACACGGCATCATTGTGTAGAATTGTATTATTTTTATGTGCATGCATAAATATTCACTCATATGGGGCAAGAGTATGAAGAAATATACAAAATTGTAATTTTTGCAAACCATAGATATGGTTAATAATTCTCAACAACTTCTCTTTGTAAAGATTTCTGCTAATATCAAACATAAATGTACTTTACTATTACACAAATTTCATATTTTGTGCCAACACTTGTATATAACTGACAAATTATTAAGTCTGAAGATGTCATTATCTGTTTTAGACCATGCAGGACATTTTATAAAGAGTAACTATTTTTCTATTAATAATAAAAAAGTTTCCCATATACTGTGAACTTAAGTAGACACACTGTATATAGTGTTTCCATTGCGAATCTTCCGAACTTAAAATAAATTTGTAACCTTTTAACTTAAACCCTTAATGCTATGAAGTTTATGCCAAANGTCCAGTTTAAGTAGCTAAATTTGATAGCAGTTACTTCAAATGCACTGTGCATTCTTGTTTTTATCGTGCTTATCCCTAGGTCCGTAGAAATATAGCAAAATTAAGCATTTTATAAAATTCCGGGATTTTTAGAAAATTAGTTGGGATAGTAAAACTCATAAATAAGTAGCGAAATTTTATACTGTCACTGACATATTCAGATGTTCTATCATTCTATCATAACCATAGGCGTTTTACAAAACATTTATGCGAATAAAAAATAAATACTGTCTGAAGCGTCACTAAAAATATAAAAAATCACTCGCTTCCGCCACCCACAATAGCACTTGCTGGGTATTCTACAAGGACACTCCTCCCCCCTCCACCTTTTTTGTAGGGCGGAGAGGGTAGGCCATCCAGATACTTTCATAAAACCATTGCCTTTAACCAAACAATAAAAGTGTTCAAATGCAAAACAGAAACTTAATTATATTTTCAAAATTACTGTAAAACTATGTGTTATGTTTCAATAAGTTACATATTTTCTAAACCGCAAAACGTCTAAATACGTCAGTCATAATGTAAAATTTCTCTATATATTTGTATGTTTTACAATTTTGCAGATCATTTTCTAAAAGCTGTGCCGTTTCATAAAATTGTTTTTGCTATATGTGTGCAATATGTAACCCTTTACGTTGCAGTCAATCTGAAATATTCGACATATTCAAACAGGATTAGACAATGAAGATTAACGCAATTTTTAATAGCGACGAATTAAACATTTAAAAGGTATGTAAAGTATGTTATAAACGAATAGGTTAAGGGTGTTTTAAAAGTATACGAATAAGTTAATAGTTATATTGCCATCGAGAATTAATTGAATTCTAAGATTGCGGTTTGTGTGTGTGTAATTCCAAGTGTCAAAAATTACCATAATAAACCGGGGATCCAGAAAACAAAGGGGAGTGGTTTTTTGTCGTCTGCCAATTTTCGCTTTAGTCATTTTTTTATTGTTAAATTGATTAAGGCCATTTCCAAACATTCCACGCGGATACTTCGTATAAAAATTCTATTTCACAATTGTAAAAAAAAAAATAGCAGAATAGTTTCTTACCGCTTGCTTGGTGTATACGGAATTTGTCTATTATTATTATTCCGTCTGGTTTTTGCTATAGATATTTGTTTGACATAGACAGTAAGATATAGTTATTTTGTTTTCACAGTACAGCAAAATGTAGCAGGAAAAGTTGCCCTAATGCTAAATGCAATTGACATTCCATATGAACGTTTGTTGTTGCGGTGGTTTCTTAATATTGATCTCTAGTTGAGTGTGCCGAATTTTTATAAACCGACTGCGCCATATACATATGTATATCGTTAGACAGAAAAGGACCAGGCTCGATAATAGTATGAAAATGGTCCCCAAAACAGCGAGTTTAACAAATTGCCTTTTTATTAAATTTGTTATTGCTCCTAATGCTTATTCAAACAATTCTTAACGCTTACAATCATTTAACAATCAATAATTAAACACAATAATTTCGGTGGTTACCTAAACTTCCATATTTTAGCATTTTTGCCATTTTTTGTATTTTGCCATTATTTTTGATATACTTCATACCGAGCGAATTGAGGCACCACTCAGGTTCAGAAATATGTTTTGCTTAGATATACAGTATATACTTTTGTAACTCGAATAATTTTTGCTTCTTTGACATGTATATTGTCTTAATTTGTTCCAAACTTTTTAACTTGAACTTAACTATTACTATCCCTCCGAAGAATTAGCCGCAGAAATTAAATAACTAAAATAAGATTTATATGTTGGTCACTGATTCTCATTTCTCAGTCTTTAGTATGCGATTGTAAGGGTTAGTGGTGAAATTAAAAACACTAGGTGGTGTAATAAATGAGCGGTGCATCCTTAAAAAAATGTATAAAAAAACACTAATAAAGCTCCTGAAGAATGCCGTAGCACTGAAACCAAGTTGAATGAATTTGTTACGTTGTTGAAAATGAAGACTCTTAATAACATTTTTTTGCCCGAATGGTAGGTAATTTGTTATAAACAGAAAGTTGGAAAATTAAAAAAAAAATACTATTACAGATATATTATTTTGAGGCAATCTGTAGATGATAGAAAATTAGTTTCACTTTAATATTTAANAAACCAGCCCCTGTTTAGCTTAGTGAAGAACCCGCTGTCACCTGCGATATTTCGATATAAAATTTCAAGGTGAAAATAAAAAGGACATTATATCACCTATAATTCGAAACGAGTGCATATATAGAAAAAACACCGAAATATCAAAAGTATTTTCAAAACAATGTTTTAACTTTGTTTTTATTTTGCAACATTTTTGTTAGTAACAAATGACCTGCCATTCAGACAAAAAATTGTTATTCAAGTTCTTAATCGCAAAAACGTAGCAAAACTGTTCCATTTGGGTTTGTCTAGAAATTATCTTCGGGAGGTTTAGTGAATTCTTGATGCATCTTTTTGAGGATGTACCGCTCACCTATATCCTCCTGAATGATATGTTTACTTACTAAAATAATGTTTAACTGTTGGAGTGATTCTAAATGCTATGAGTTAAGATAAGTGCTCACTCATGTACACTCATAAAAAAATTAAAAAATTATTAAACTAACTGTTACGGGGACCATTTTCATATTCTTAATAAATTATTCAAGAAGAAGAAATATATAGAATGATAATAAAATGGGTCACTTAACATTAAAAACATGCAAAATATCCTAATCCTAATATTATGTTTTTATTTTATGAAAACGGTTAAATTAAAATGACTTCATGGATTGGTGCAATAAAAAAATACTTTTATAAAAAATATAAAAATAGCGCACCTTTCCCTAGCATTGTTAGCTTGTCTTCTTTCCCTCTCCCTCTGTGCTTTTATATCTGGATCCAGATCGCTCTCCTCTTCGTCCGCACTTAAAACAAAGCAATCAAAGTAAATATCAAAAGAGATATTTAATGTTAATTGGCTATTACTTTATGATAGCATAAAACTTAAATTTTACTGTAAATAAAATAAAATTTAAAAGTTAAATAGTTAAAATGTAATGCTACACATCTTTACAAAATGATTTATGAACAAACATTAATTAAAGGAATAATTCTAAACCTTGCAGTATTTAATATTGTGATTCTAGAATCTTAGCATTACCTAATGTACTGCAGAAATGTAAAGCTGAACATTATAACGTTAGAATTTGAATCAGATGAAGTTTATTATATTTAGTTTCTAATTTATACATAAGTATTGCCAATGTTAATGTTGCAACTTTAAATACTTTTACCTATATTTTGGTTATTTTCCAAAACTGCATAATCGCGATAAATTATAGTTTGACTTCTAATAAATGGTACGTCATTAGGGGATTCAAAAGTAATTACTTAAAAAAAACTCGACGCCTTTACATCATACCAGTATTGACAAATAAAAAGAATAATTGCAACTCTTATGAAATATCGAAAAAGTGAATAATTCTATTTTAGAAAGTTGAAACATTTTAAATTTGATCTTGGTCCAGTTTAAGTAGCTAAATTTGATAGCAGTTACTCCTATTTAAAAGATGTTATTTTATTTTCAAAGTACGAAAAATTCCATGCAAAATTTTATGATTTTCTACTCTGTTTTTACCCAACAATTACAATTCGGATCGACACACATTATAAGTACGCTTCATAGCAGATACCTACTAATCCTGTCAATAAATACAAAGGGTCCCCAAAAATGTTAACAGGAAACATAAAATACGGTCATATAGAATAAAAAAAAAAAAACTAAAGCCACTAGAACAAAAAAATAAATGAGAACCTTGTAGGTATTAAAAATATCTATCGATCCATTTTTTTGCTATCGATTAGTGCATTATTTTTCGAGATATATAACGTTTTTTAATTTTCTACTCGCTATAAATTAAGCCCTTGACAAGCCAAAAAAGTACCTTTTTTAGAAACTAAAAATATTGAAAATTTTTTGAAATATGCCGATTTTTCAAAAAATAAGGTTCTCTCGAAAATCGACTCCTCTATCACGAGGGAAGATCCAACGGAAACCATTTTGGGCTTATTTTTTTCTAAAGAGTTGTACTTTCACAGTAAAAACAAATATTTCATTAGTAAATTCTTCAAAAATGAATTTGCCTGAAGTTTGTTTTGTTTATCGGAGGTAGAGTCGGATACCGTTAGTTGAAAAGAAGACAAATGTCCTTTCTACAACTTTCTGACATGCTCCATGAATGTAAAATAAATTTATAATATCGTTATTGGTATAATTGTTGTGTTTGTTTTCCATTTTAAAACGGCAAAGCTGTGAGAACTAATATACAATTTACAATTTGTGCACAACAGTGTTTGTCTACTATGATGAATCATTTGAAAACGTAATGTAGATTGTTTTTACCTCATAAACTATTACCGATAGATATAGGAAATACTCAACTGACGCAAAATTCAATTCTACGTCTACTGATGAGGTAATATACAGGATGTTCCATTTGGAAAAGAAAAAACTTAAGCGTGTTCGAAGTTTTATAAGTTGGACGCTATATTTTCAACATGTATACATTTACGATGCTAAGGACACAATGCCAGATAGAGATAGGTGCGAGACAGCTGATTACTCAATATGGCTACGGCACTTTCAAAATTAGCTGAATAATTCACTAGTTAGCATGAGAACATAATTTTCAGAAAAATCGAAATATCTCGAAAACTACTAAAACGGTTTGCTGAACCAAAAAATGCCATTAAAAATATAGTGTTCCATTTGAAATAAGCCATTTGATGTCCACATCCGGTTATTTGCCGCATTTTCAAATTTCTAGCGGTACTTTAACTTTAAAAACTTTTATTGAACGAGTTAAGTGAAAAACCTGCCTATTATACTATACAGTAGGTTCAATCCTTTCATTTATCTAAAATACCGATATTTTTTGCAGGCCATCATAGTTTAACTTTATGTGCACTGAACTGCCATATACAAGGACGGTTTAATAGCTTTACAGAAGTTTTTAGATATAAAATGTATTTGAACTGTGGCTTCACTGTACAAACCAGCCCCTGTTTAGCTTAGTGAAGAACCCGTTGGTGAAGTGGTGACTCGTCGGCAGGGAAGGAATGTATGGGCACGGCTGGGAAGTGAGCATACTATATAAGATATCTTTGTTCGAGCGTTGAGACTCACGGCCCGCAAGTGTAGGGTGTACCGTGCGACAACAGTACGTTGCATTAACAGTGACACACTGACTTACTGCCAGTATCATCGATTGCCTAATCACATGAAAGTTATAACATTAAAGAACAAATAACTACTACAGGTTGACTGCAATAAAAACATCTTGAATCGCCCCTTGATCCTATACTTTCAAATCCGTCCTTCTTGAAAACAGAGAATGGAGAACATGCATAATTTAATTTTTTTTAGTTTATCTTAAAGACTTAAGGATTACATAAAGATACCAAAAAGGAAAAAGTTAAAATGTGCAATAAGTATTTGTTTAATGCAAATCAAAGATTGACATTTCAAAGTTCGCGCGTAAACACCCTTGACTTGACGCGACGTCAATCCATAAGACGTAAACTTTTTATGGTGCGTGAATATTATTTGTTTATAATAAAAAGTAATATATTCTCAGTTTTATTTAATACAATAAACTACACTTTCTACGATAATGGATAACTCTTCAGCGAATACAGATAAATCTCATAAAATGTGTACAGTGATCTACTATTTTGTACCTATGTGGTAAGTGTCCTTCCAATTCTATTAAGTTTCCTGACAAACTATTTTTTACTGAGGCTTAAGAGCCTAAAATTTCACAAATGCTGATGAAAGCAGCTAATAGAAGACATTTACCATCTCCAAAATCTGGCTTGTGATGTTGTAAAGATCATTTGATATAAGTATGTTGCACTTCCCTGGAAATTGAAATAGAAATACCTGCCAATGCATTTCATCAATCATGAACTTATGCTTCTTATAAAACATGTATACCATGTAATATTTAGTGTCCGCTACTTCAGATGGAATGTTTTGGTAGTCGCACTTCAGATATAAGAATATGTCAAGAGTTACAGTTATTTGGCTGCTTACCACTTGGAGTAAGTATTATGACCGACAGGGTTGCTAAAAGAAACTTTACACTGATAAGACCACCTAGTGTCAGAAGTTAAGAAAAAAGTAGTAAAAAAGAAGTTCTACACAAAAAAATGACTAGTTTGAGAATACCTATAGAATATGTCGACCACAATAATTTACAGTGCATTAGTTAATTTAGAAACCTCATTAATTAAATACAGTTTTAATCAAACTTTATTTTAAATTATTCAAGAAAATTACTTGATTTTTTATTTAGTATCTATATTTGATTGTGTGACCCTCCACGCAAAGAAGTTGGTTGCTTATAATTATAATAACTTCTTATGTGTCATTACACTTGCACTGATAATAGAGTAATATGAAAATGAACCGCTTGATCTTGTTTTTAATCCTGTATTTATATCTTGAAAATTCCTGAGACAGCTACTAAATTCTACATTAACAGAATTTTTTATGTAAAAATGTCAAATGTACACTCATAATGAACTTCAGAAATGAGTATGGTTTATAACTGACTTATGGAATGACGTCACTTTACGCTGATTGATGTTTCAAATTATATTTCACTCTATATAACTCATAATTAAAATATCTCGCAAAAAAATCATTTACACTTTTAACGACTACCATTTTTGAATTAACTAATTTTTGGACCTGTAAACTTTTACTTAACTTCCTTATTTTATACTATCACCTCCTGCACGAGTGCTGTACATGAAAATGCTTTTTGTAAAAAAGTTTTAGAATTCAAAGTTAATTTACAAAATGACCAAATATAACTCTTATATTCTCGAACTGAATTTCAAGCATTGAAGCCGCGGACGCAGTTAGTAAATTATACACACAGTAGTAATTAGCTACCTTGTGGGTAATATTCTCCAAAAAATTATATGCTTAGGGGAATAATAGGAAAATGCATCGGCATAATAAAATACAGTGTTATATGTATATATTTTCTTGGATGAAGTGCAAAATATATAGTTTACTGAAATAATTCGTCATTAAACCTTTCAATTCAAATTAAGTGAAACTCTCCACACCTAATCAATTACATGCGTAAGCAGATTTTCAACTTCTCAAGATTTAAATTGAATATGGGTATAGGCTGAGCACTGTACATAAATAATGCCGCACGTCAATGTGTATTGAGCCGTAACGGAGTGCAGCGGCCGAACGGCAGTGATGCAGGGACGGTAAAATATTTTTTTAACAAAATTATAATAAACATGATAAAAAACGCCGCTACGCAAAAAGAATTTAAGTTGCTAAACGCATTTTATTGATGTCAATTTATTCCCGAATTATACAACTGGTGGGCATTGAAAAAAGATGTAAAGAATAAGCCGTACATAGAAAGTAGAAATAGTTTAATACCAGGAATGTCGTTCTTATTTAATCCGCATTATTTATTTTTCTAATACCGTGGAGGTGTAGCATAATAAATTTATCATTTAATTAAAAAAATGAGTTTTTAATAATTTTCCCAATTCGAAAAGAGCACAGTCGAATCACACCCCAATCTACAAGTACACTACCCAATGGTTGTTTGTAAAAATGCAATATGGGGGTGAAGCCTTTTTTATTCTATATTTCAAAAGTAGACATAAGAAAATTTCTGCAGTACTTTCCTATCCTCATCATAACAGTCATAGCAAATTAGAGTTCTCGTCCCCTTTCCGCAAACTGATATCTAGTTACACTGAGGGGATGGCAAGTCTAATTTCTGCAAGCAGCCGGCAAATATCCTAGGGTTGACACTGTGAATACTGTCTATATGTTATAAATTATCATTCAAGTAAAAAAGCAGATTTCATGACACTGCAA